GAATGATTCATGAAAATTCACAATGGAATTTCGCCTGGATTTCCCGCTCATATCGATGCTATACCATTCTCTGAATGAAATATCAACGTGGTTTTTTCCACACAAACATATACTGTTGGTGTAACTGCAGCCTTTCAACATTTTTAACAATATAGTAGAATCACGAGACTCAGCAACTCAGAGATGGCTGTAATTTGTGGAAAAATTTCTTTTATCAGAAACAACGAACCAAATTGGAAAAATACTTAATAATTGCGTCAAATGACTAGTAATTGTTTCAAATGAAACCTTTTTATTTTAGGGCAGCTGCATATCCATAGCAGAGAAGCAGTCATTCTTTTTGGACAAATATTGCTTTTTATGAGAGTTACATTTTTCGAGACATTAGTGTATCGACACAAATGAATCATGTGACCATATGTGTACTTGATGCATTTTAATAGCAAATATTTTGCTATAACGCAACCAAATTTACTCTACAAGCAAATTTACTCACCATACGATGATTAGTGATTCATTAATAATAACACAGTGAATTTGGTGGTGATACCCGCAGACGTAAGGTCAGACACGACACATATTTGTATATATTACATATTGAGTATGCACTAGACTGTATGCCTCTCTCTCTCTCTCTCTCTTCCTCTCTTTATAATGTATACAACATAGATGAGCACCGGGAGTCGTAGGGCCGGACTAATCTCCCTGCTACCCATTCGAACTACATCTCTCCCCGCTCTCCGACAAAAATATTTTATATAAATTTACAGATTACACTATTTAAAATGATTTTTTTTTCACAGAAAAGAACTTTTTCTATTGTTTTCCCGGCTGATCGACCACTCCCAGTATGGTTTATACATCTATTTTAATAACTGCCACACAACATTGCAATCAATTTAGTAATTTTAGCGACCGAATCTTCAAAAGTTCTAATCATGCAACGACGACTGTAGCAACACCAATGAATAAATGGACAAATTTATGTAAAAATATTTAAATAGATCGAAGATAATAATCAACGATTTATAGCCCTCTCTCACTCTTCCATTGAATGTCTTTGGTGAAAATTATGCATGTGAACAGTAATGAAAAATTTATCTTAATCTATAAAATACATACACATTGTTAAAACTCAAACCAGAATGCTTTCATATTAAAATGGATAGAACCATACTGACCAAATACGAATTGTCATCAATTCCATTTTTGGCTGAAATTTAAACGTTTCGAAAGAGTTTGCCATGGCTTCACTTCAACATTTTCTACATCGAATGTATTTCTCCATTTCTTTGGCGGCTCTAATTTTCTCGGATTTAATCTAAGAAAGACCAAATGATCATTCTTTAGTCATTCACTATTGGTGTATAACAAAAACTTAATGTAACGAAGAGCGTTTCAATAAAAAGCAACTATTTTCATCTTTAAACAACAACATCATCGCGAAAAAATCAACAAAGCGTGAAAAAGGACCCATTAGGACATACAGAGATACAGATAGAAAGACACATATATCCATTTCATCATCATGTTGAGTATATAATCGAATAAATGTGTTAGCTCAGACTCTACAACCAAATGGGTTGGTACATTGGAATGGTACAATTTGCCGAGATTATCATTTTATTACTGTAAAACAATATAAATAAATTAACATAAACACCAAAATCCAACAAATTAGTAGCGAGTAGTATGGAATAGGTCCTTAGACGGCAATCCTTCTTTTATTATGATTTAAATTAATTAAAAATCGTATCGTTGTGTGTACATCATATTATACAACAAAACACACAGATTGGCCATGTTGCTGCCAGGGATTTTCCAGCATATTTAAGATGGGTGCGCTTGTTTGTGCGTTGTTGTTCTAAGTAGTCTTAACATTTCATCTCGTGCGCTTTTTTTTATTTTATTTTACTAAAATGCTTTATGTGCTATAGTTTGGATTTGTTTTGTTTGTCATGATAAAGTAACGGTTAGGTTGAGTGTTTCAAGCACGAGTACTACTGTGTGTATGTTATAATAATTATTTTGATTAGTGTAGCCAAAAATATTTCATTGGTTTGTTTTTGGATCACCAATTTATCAAAACATAACAAAGGAGAAGAGCGTACATAATGTGCGTGCGTGTGTGTATGTTTTCGTATGAATTTAATAGAAACGTATTCGGCATGATCACAGAGAGCACATTCTGAAGTAAAGAAACTGCCTTGAACAACATAAAACGAAAATACAACTCAGTTGTTATGGAAATCGCATTCTAAATCCTTTCATTGACTACACATAAACGTAGATTTTGGCTTTGTTCTTCACTCTCACTCTTTCTGTCTCTTCTCTGCCTATCTATCTTTTTTCCTATTTGCTCGACTTTATAATCGACAAATAACAAAGTACAAATGCATCTTTCATTTCAGAAACAGTATAATGATTTCGTAATTTTTTTTTTTATTAATATTATGTTCAGACATTTTTGAGATTTATCACAGTGATTTCAACACACACACAATTTTCATTATGAATTCATTCAGCCAATGCAGATGCTGTGCTTGCTTGCATATTATGTTGCGTTTACAAGCAACACTCCAATGTGCTCGTTATTGTAATTTTTTTTTTGTTTTGTTCAAAAAAGTTTAGATTGTATTCATTAAATATTTATATACAATTACCTCAAAAAGTAATGCATTTATTTGGTTTATGACTTTATTCATCTACAAATTTTCCATTCATCATATACTATTTCCCACGATAATTTAATTTTATTTTTATTATAAACCAAAAAGTTTTTTTGAAAAAATAAAAATTTAATCAACCAAATCAGAGAAAAAGATAGAGATAAATTATTTAGTTTTCAAATTAAGCGAAAACACATTGTTGATCTGTCTACAGGCTAAGGACTTTCTCTATTTAGCTTCATAATATTCGCAGATATTGTTCTTTTTTTTCTGTTACTCATCCTCACTCTTGATTTTTCTCCCCCTATCTCTCGATTTCTGCGCATTCGAAGTATTCCTATTTGAAATAAATGAATGTGGCCATTTATTCACGAAAAAGTTGTTCCTCGTTTTTACGGTCTAGCCATTATTGCATATAAATATAATTTATTGTTAAATATTTCATTTTCAATTCAAAAATGCTTCAAATACTCTCATTTTAATAACTTTACATCAAGCACTTATTTTATTAAAAGAGAGAAAGTGAAAGAGAGAGAGAGAGAGAGAGAGAGAGAGAGAGAGAGAGAGAGAGAGAG